GGCAGATTCATCCCCAGGTAAGAACCACTGGCCTGGTGGTAAGGATGTGGGTTTTAGAGTCCAGCAGACTTGGGCTCCGCTCCCTGTCCTCACCAGATATAGGACAGGCCATTCATTTTCCTGTCCCCAAAACAGGGATGATCACGGAACTCACCTCTTAAGGTTACAGCGTGGATTGAATGTGATTGTACCTGTAAGACCCAGGGCACCTGGGAAATCCCATATCTCAGGGCCTGGCACAAGATGAAAAGGCCGGAGGAATTCCTCAACCAAGTGATCCCATCTCAGTATCAGTTTTCTAATACCCTTAGAGGGGCAGGAAGGGAATAGAAGAACAGGTTTGGGGAGATGGGGATGTAAAGTGCTGTTTTCTGCAGACACAAGCTTTGAAAACGGATAGTCCCAGTGTCAAGTGGGCCTGTGGGGTCAGTTACCAATGGGCATCATCCTCCCTTTTCGTGCTGCACGTGCATGAGGTCCCGGGTGGGCGCAGGCTGCTGACTGACTCTGTAAATATTGGCTGTAAAAGCCCAAGGCCCGGGCAGCCCCTGCAGGACAGAGGGTAGGTAGCATGCTGTTTCCCTGCCAGTCCCCACTTGCAGGGACATGGCTCTGGGCTGGGCCAGCCACCTGAAGTCCCCTTTGAGACTCTTCCCCTTTCTGGAGCACAGTAGGACCCCCGATCCTTGCCACTCCAACACACCCCCTTGTCCAGCACTTGCTCAGTGTCCACCCCTTTTTCTGCTTTATCACTCCACTTTGCCTGAATTCTATAAGTGTTGAGCATCTACGGATCCTTTTTGGCTTCCATAAGCTGCCATTATCACTGGTACCCCCTGGGTCTCTGGCGGACACCCGCAGGGCAGCTGGTCCCCCTCCCTGAAGCACCAGTGCAAACAGAGATCATGGAAGTGCGACCCAGCCTTGAGGTCTGGAGCTGTGTGCGGGAGGTGTTGCAGGCTGTGAAGGCGTCCTGCTGATTGGGAGAAGGAAAATGTAGGTGGACCCAAATTAAGTGGCGTGGAATCCTCTTTCATCTCCCCAGCTGTGTAAACTCTTGACTCGCGAACCACAGCACAGGTCGGCACTGGGCGGAGGAAGGCCCGTCACGCTGACTTGCTATGTAAAGGCCACACGTCGTTCACCTGTCCGTTTGCCAGCCTCTCTCTGCAGTCCGGGCTTTGCCTCTGAGTAGGAGAGAGGCTAGCGGAGGGCCAGGCTCTAGCACCAAGTGTCAGCCTGTCTGGGAGCGCAAGCTAGAGGATTCTCCAAATCTGGAAGATTCCTAGAAGTTCCTCCTGATGTTTCATTTCATTTCTCATCTCCTGGATCGTATTTTGGCTTCTTGGGCTATCTGCAGTGATCGGAGGCAAGATGATTTTTATTGTTCTTTGCTGTGGAAGTAAGCCACATGATTTTGTAAGTGCTTCTGCCAAGCTCTGAGTTTATGGGATCCTTTGGGGCATTCTGGAGGTCACGATTTTTTTCCTACTGTGAGCAAGGCTTGAATTGGGGTGGCACAATTTTGGAGGGGGCCACTTAAGCCGGTCCGAGGAGTTCCCCTGGCTCGGTTTTCTGGGCTCGTTGCCAGCCACGCTTGGGGCCCTGTGGGTTCTTGGGCGCCCAGCCAGTCAGGTCTCGGCTCTTGCCTAATACCTCCCATGGCAGCTCTGCAGCAGGTCAGGACGTCCTGCATGTAACACTCAGCAAGCATGTCCTCCTCTCTGGGTTTGGCTTGTTTAACCTGAGGACCTTCAAGTGTCAACGGTTTCCGGACTTCACCGATAGTCTCTGGTCCTCACCATGCTGTTGCTGCCTGGAGGGTGGGACATGCACTCACTGCGCCCCCAAACCCTACCCAGATCAAGTAGGACCAAGGGGGAGGAAGCATTCTCCCTCTCACTGCCAGCGATCAAGTTGGAAAGGGAACTCTGGGGGCTGGCTGGTAAGTTCAGTTGGTTTGAGCTCAGTGTTATAACTCCAAGGTCAAGGGTTTGGATTCCTGCACCAGCCAGCTTTCCATAGGAAAGGGACCTCTGGACATCAGCCTGCAGTGGTGGTGCTCAGAAGGCACCTTTCCAAGGGGCCATTTTCCCCATAGGCTTTGAGTTTCCCTCTGCCAAGGAGGCCTCTCCTTATGCCCCCCGCCTGCAGTGTCCTATGATGCTCGCCTTCTCGGGTCGTAGGATACTCCCTGGGCTGCGGCAGGACCTTTCCTGCTAGTCCCCTGGCATCTGCACTTGGCCAGGGCTTATCATGGAGCACCATAGTGGGAGGCTGGGAGCCAGGCCGCCTCCACCAAACCCCTTTTTCTCACTCGGCTCTGGGAGTGAGCCCCTCCACCCTCCCAGCCTCAGTTTCCCCACCTGTCATGCCCAAGTGAGATGACATTCCCAGGGCCTGATTTTTCAAAGGCTATCGGTGACATCCTTGTGTCTCTTTCTGCTTCCCTCTCAAAGCAGGCTGAGGTCCTTTCTCTGATGGTGGTCGCTCTGTGGGGTCTCTTGTTGGCAAGGGGCAAAGTCTTCTGGGAATTGGAACACACCTAGAGGGGGACCACCCCACTCTGCCCGGTGACATCCTTGTGTCTCTTTCTGCTTCCCTCTCAAAGCAGGCTGAGGTCCTTTCTCTGATTGTGGTCGCTCTGTGGGGTCTCTTGTTGGCAAGGGGCAAAGTCTTCTGGGAATTGGAACACACCTAGAGGGGGACCACCCCACTCTGCCTTCGAATTCTCTAAAACTCTCAAATCGTGCTGCTCTGCCCTGTGGGTGGAGCAGTGGCTTCAATCCCTGCTTGTGCAAGGGAGCATGGACTCCCGCAAATAGAACTGTCAACCTGGGAGGACGGCGGTCCCAGGCCTGGCTGGGAGTGCCTGGCAGGGTCCACCAGTCACTCGGTGCCTGCAGAGGGAGGCGAAGTTGGCCCCGGGTCCATCCTCTCCAGACTGCTCTGGCTCTTCGAGAACTGGGTCACTGCAGTCCTGTTTAGATTTCCTCCAAACAAATATTTGCCTGGCCAGTCCAGTTTGGTCAAGAAGTGTGCTGAGCAGCAAGGGTGGCAGAGGAGGGAGGGAGGAGGCTGTCACACAACAGCAGCCACTGCTCCCGGTGGCTGCTCCACAGACCTGGAGCATCCCATCCTGAGTGGGAGAATAGAGTGGGATGCCCTTTGGGAGCTAGAGGTGCACATTCACCATCTCACTTGGATTCTTGACATTCCCAATGGATATTTTCCCAGTGCCCTGAGCTCTTCCAGTGAGGCGCAAGAGTCTCCCCACTGGACAGAGAGCCGAGGCGCAGATGCGAGGTTGGCTTCTAATGCCTTGCATTGGGGCCTGTGTTCCACACGTCTCCCAGTGGCTTAGCAAGAGAGGTTCATGTGAAAGATTACCTGAGAGATCAGCTTTGGTGCGGACGGACATGGAAGGTTTCTGAGGACTTGCCAGATATTTACAGAGATCTAATCAGAAGTTAGTCAAGCAGAGACGGAAAAGGTGTCCCAGACAGGAGGGATGGCGTGTGCAAAGGCCCCGGGGTGGGAAGGAGTCTGCCCTGTTTGAAGTGCTGAGAGAAGACGGGTTCAGCTCGGCACAGTGATGAAGGGGGTGAGATCAGCAGGGGTCAGACAACAGCCTTGGAGGCCAGGATGTGAGCTGGATTTTATCCCAGGGGCTGTGGAAAACCAGGAAGGGTTTTAAGTGACGGGATCAGATTTGCAGTGGCTTTGGGGAGTCCAGACGGGAGCAGGTTTCAGTGATTTGCGGACAGGTGACAGCAGTTTTGATGGTGCATGGAGAGAAGTGGAACAATTGGAGAACTGTTTCCGGGGGCAGGGAAGCTCGCAGGGGGGTGGAGCTCCTCAGGAAGAATCTAAGTGTCCAATGAAGTGGGCAGCCTGCCGGGGAAAACGGTCTTCCCTTCTCATCGTCCCCCTGCCCTATCCCTCCATCCTTGTAGCTTCTCGCTGAATTCTGAGGGGGTGGAGAGGATGGCCACCGGGACGCCAACAGCCGACCGGGACGATGTGGCACCCATGGAGGACCCGGCCGCCCGTTTCCAGGTGCCGAAGCACTCATGGGACGGGCTCCGCAGCATCATTCACGGCAGCCGCAAGTACTCGGGCCTCATAGTCAACAAAGCTCCCCACGACTTCCAGTTTGTGCAGAAGACGGATGAGTCTGGCCCCCACTCCCCCCGCCTCTACTACCTAGGTGAGCCGGGTCTCCCCGGGCTGCCCTTGGCCAGGGCGGTTTCTGGGACAGCTGTGACTTCAGTCCTCTGTTCTTCAGAGGCCAACGGTCTTGGTACTGTGAAGGTACACTTAGGTGGGTGCTTGGCACACTGTCTACAAGGCTGTGCCACCCCCAGATGGTACCTATTACAGGGACAACTTGGGCCAGGCCTGAAGGGGAGGAGGATGGGGCCCCTGGGAGGGTCAGCAGTGCCAGTGAGCTGAGCAGAGGGCAGTCCTGTCCATCTGTGTTACTGGGCACCGTGGGTCAGGGCTGGCCAAGTGGCTCTGAGCCCAGAGATTGTTTCCAGTACCAGTCAGCTGGGCTTACCCCCTGAGTCACTTCCTAGCCACCTGGTCTGGGCTGGGTGGGGCTCATGAAAACCAGGACTGGGCTTAAAGATCCCCAACAGGAGTTGTAACTCCAGCAGGAGCTTGCAGCATAGTGATGTGTTAAGAAGGACCCCGAGGCTCAAAGAAAGGTGCCTTGACTGTGTAACCATGTCAGCCGTGGGCTAACAGTGGGGGGGCGTGTGCCACACATTGCGTCCCCTGCTCCAGATGCCTGGATAAACATGGTCACGGCTGATCACCTCCTCCCTGGGCATGTGCCTGGGGAGCAGCACTTTTATGTGTCTGTGATCATTTACGGGTTTGTGTCCCCTACTGGACCATGAGAGCCTTCGGGCATGGGTCAGGTCTCATGTATTCCAGTAGCCCCAGCAGCCAGACCAGGCCTGGCGCCCACTAGGTGGACAGTAAATATCTGTTAAGCAAGTGGATGTGCCCTACTTACTGACAGGTCTTACAGAGCTGGAGGAGGGTGCCCCATAGGAGTCAGTCGAGACTGTTCCTTTGAATGCCGTTGACCTAAGTAAGGCAGGGTTTCTCAACCTTGGCATGCTCCACATCCAAGGCCGAGTCTTCTCTGTAGGCCTGCAGGTGCTGAGCAGCGTCCCTGGTCTCCAGTCCATGCCAGGAGCACCCACAGTTGTGACAACCACAAATGTCCCCAGACACTGCACAGACTCGCCCCCAGTTGAGAACCACTGTCTGCGGAGTAGGAAAGCACTAGAATTACTCTCCAGGGCAGAATCTTGTCCAAATGGCTCTCCCCAGCCCCTGAGACAGTGCCTACGCATGCTTAGGTCCTCAATCAATATTTGAATGATTGAATGAATGAATGAATGAATGTCATCCTCTGCCTGAGGCTGACCGCATGCTAATGGAAATGACTGAGATGGACTCCAGGTGGCTGCCCCCTTCCCGCAGTCGATGCACTCCCTTGTCACAGACAAGCCTCTTTGGAAATGAGATGGTTTGACAAACACAGAGTTATAAAAGAAGAGTGATCCAGAGCAGGGGTCACAAGCAAGGGCTGTCTGTCTTTAGGAATCAAGTGTTACTGGTGCCCATTCATGTGTGTATCGTCTTTGGCTGCTTTCAAGCTATAGCAGCAGGTAGCTGGGGCAGATCCTATGGCCCACAAAGCCAAAAATATTTACTGTCGGGCTCTTTGCAGAAAAATGTTTGCCAACTCCAATCTTGGAGACATTTGGACTGGAAATGCTTCAGGGTTCATTTACCCCAGAGGGAGCTTGGCTGTGAAGACTGAAAGGATCCCAGATGAGGACCGTAGTGGGCCAGCGTCTCCCTCTATTTCCTGTGGCCCCCCCAACCCCTGTGTCAGCACAGTCTTGGATTACTTGCTCATGTTTGGGTTGCCGTCCTGGTTGGGGCACTTGTGTGAATTTCCTGTGGCTGCTGTTGTACCAGTGAACATCAGTTTAGTAGCTTAAAACAACAGAAATGTATTCTGTTACAGTTGTGGAGGCCAGAAGTCTGAAATCAGTTTCAGTGGGGCCAAAACCAAAGTGTCAGCAGGTCCACACTTTGGAGGCTGCAGGGGAGAATCAGTTCCCTTCCTCTTCCCGCTTCTGGTGGCTGCCGGCATTCCTTGGCTTGTGGCTGCATCACTCTAATCCCTGCTTTTGCAGTCACGTGGTCACCTCCTGTGTCTGTCTGAAATTTCCTCATGCTTCCCTTTTGTAAGGACACGTGATGACATTGCTCCCACCTGGATAATCCAGGATAATCTCCTAGCTCAAGCTTTAATGTAATCACAGCTGCAAAGTCCTGTCTTGCTGTACAAAGTAACATTCACATCCAGGCCCCAGGATGTGGACATCTCTCTTTAGGGGTCAATGCGCATCCTCCACAGAGCTGCTAATAGGTGCAGAAACCCTCCTAGCCAGTTTGAGCCTCAAAGGGCAGCTTGTGGTAAAGATATAGGGGCATCTCACAGAACCCAGGGGTAGAAAGTCCACTGGACATCAGGAAGCAGCACCTGGGAACTGGGAACCTTCCAGAACCCAGGCCTGCTCTGTGCACATCTGTATCCATGGGTCCACTCCACATCACTCCCACCTGGCCCCCACAGCACTCCCACAGCTCCCAGGGTTCCACATGTCAGGTTCCAGCCAACAGCAGACAGACAGGCTTTCTCCAAATTTCTAGGAGAAGCAATTGGATTGGCTCAGCATAGGTCACATCGTCCAGTCGGCTGGGATGGGCAGGTCCTTGCGGGACACAGGAAGCTGCAGAGGACCCTCCCTGGTGGGTGAGGGGCAGCTCCAGACAGTGTGGACTTGACAGAGACCCCAGAATGTACTAGAGCAGCCCAGAGCTGCACTGTCTTCTCGAGGGTGATGTCATTCACACTTCGCTGGTCCAGTCTTTGTCACTTAACACTATCAGGGCAGCTTCGACCTCACTTCATGTCCAAGTTCTCAGACCGGCCTCCCTGTAGCTCCTAGGTCTTTATAAACACATCTTGGCGTGAGCCTGGCACCTGGGCTAATGCTGGCACCCAGTGTACTCCAAGGGCAAGGCCCAGCCTGCTGCTCCAGGTGTGCCACCTGTCCCCTCAGCTCCGCCTGGGGACCTCTGTGTCCTTGGCAGGCACCAGGCTTGCTGTTTGGGACACGTGGAGCTGATCACTGAGGTCCTCCAGGAAGGCTCTTTTATAACCACGTGACCAGTTGGAGCAGTGGAGGGAACTCCTGCTGCTGGGAAGGGCTGGACACAGCATAGGCCCCAGGGCTCAGCTGTCCCACCCTGTGCCGAGCTCTGAGACCTGCTGAGAAGGGAAAGTGAGAACTCTTGTCTCCTTGTGTCTCCGGTCACGATCCAGGAGAGAGCCCTGGCCCAGCTTCGGGCACATGCACCCTGCGAGGCCGGCCACCAAGGCCACAGTGCATGGTGACTAGACATGGTATTTGCGCAGGCTTGGGTCACCTGCCATGCCTGTGGCGAGAGGGCAGGTGACGGTTGGCAGTGAGCGCATATGGGGGGCAGAGCTGGTAAGAAAATCAGGGAGGGAGAGTGGCAGCCGAAACTTGTGGCTGTCATTGGCCGGCTCCGCCCCTTGCCTCAAATGCCAGTCATTAATGTCACTGGTGCCAACAGCACCATGTCCAGGGAATGTGCTGGCTTGGGCATTTTGGTGAGATCACTTATTAATCAGCTGGGGAGGGGAGGTGGCCCTGATGGCCTTGGCAAGGCTGTGCCTTTGACTTCCTGTTTGGAAGGCTCTGGCTCTTCCAGAGTCCCTGTGAACAGGGACTGTCCCAGAGCACAGGTTGCTGCCAGAAAACAGCTGCCTGCCCCCTCTCAGCCTTCCCCATTGCCCACAACACTTTTTCTTAAAAAATTCAGATTTAATTTACATTCCATAATTTCATACTTTTAAAGGTGTACAACTTATGGCTTTTAGTATATTTACGGTGTTGCGCAACCATTACTACTGTCTAGTTCCAGAACATTCTCATCACCCCAGAAAGAAACCTCATGCTCGTTAGCAGTCATTCCCCATTCCCCTCCCCCACCCCCTGGCAAATACGAATCTATTTCCTGTCTCCTGAATCTATTTGCCTGTTCTGGGCATTTCACATGAATGGAATCACACACCATGTGATTCTCATCACTACTTGTGACCGTGGGGAGGAGGAAGGCCCAATGGGTGGCCTGGATGGGGCAGAGTCGTGTCTGACTCTAGCAGGGAATGAGAGAGTTGGACCTCTGCAGTTTAAGGATCCTTAGAGATCAAGTTGTGTTTCTGGCACTGGGGCTCTTCACCTCACCCCTGCCTCAACATGTGATTTTCCCCACCTGTACATGTCTAAATTAACTTTGCATTTTTCATAAATCCTCTTTAAAAGAAAACCTGTTAATCTAATATTTTTCCTTAAACACACTCTTCCGTTACTGTGCTTCAAGAGCACACATTATCACCTGTGGAAAACCTGCATCTCTTGTCATAAGAAGAAGCTACGTTCATAAATCCTCTTTAAAAGAAAACCTGTTAATCTAATATTTTTCCTTAAACACACTCTTCTGTTACTGTGCTTCAAGAGCACACATTATCACCTGTGGAAAACCTGCATCTCTTGTCATAAGAAGAAGCTACGTATAACAATAAATATAAATGGGTCAGATATTATCTATTAAGCTCTACCCCAGGAGGTGCTGAGCTTGGGGCTTGCCTGTTTTCTCAGGCTTAAAAGCAAGCGAGCACAAGGAGGTCCTGCAGAGGGCGGCATGAAACCAAGTCTTCCTCCTGGAGAAACTCAGGATTAAAAGAGGAACAAAGAGGAACTTGAGCTGTCCGAGATTCATGTTAGCCACGTCACATGTTGCTGGATTGTTCAACACTTGGGGGAGCCCTGTCCTGGTTCCCCAACCTTGTTGCACAGAGAGGGGGAAACTGAAGCTTCCAGAAATAGTCATTCTGCTCCTGCCTTTTAATTTACTAATAACGACAGTACCGTCACCTGTTGAATCTAAGACACTCCCAGTTGGAAGTTACACCATTATTTTATCTGCCACTAAGGACACAATACCACCTTCAGCAGTGAGACCCATGCCAGCTCCAGGGATGTGAATATGTGAACACCACAGCTTACCGAGTGACACTTGCATTGTGCTCAGGGTTTCCCATTTTGTATCTCACCTCATCCACACGAAACCCCTGTTTGGCAGCTACTGCCATACCTCACTTTTTAGGAAGGTTAGATTAAATCAGCAGTTCCCAGTCAGGGGTGATCATGCTCCCCCGACTCCAGGGAATATTGGGCGATGTCTGGAGACATCTGTGGTTGTCACGACTGGGGGTGCTCCTGGCACGGAGTGGGTGGAGGCCAGGGATGCTACTCAGCACCCTCAGTGCCCAGGACGGCCCCACCCCAGAGAATGACCTGGCCCAAACGTCATTAGTGGCAAGGTTGAGAAACCCTGGATAAAGATTTTCCTTATTCCTTTTTGTAGGTTCCGCCCTTACTCTAAACCTAGATTGATTTAATTCTTGGCCTTTGCAAAAACCTTTGGTAAAAAAGGACCTTTGAGAGCCTGTTGAGATTTGGGTATCTCCAAGCGACCTTTTTTTGTTCTCCTGTGAGCTATTTTTTCAGTAATTGAGGCCACAGTATTCAGCACACATAACTTAGAGCGGGGAGACCCTATCAGTGATGTGGCTTTTTGGGCAGCGGTGTGCCTGGCAGAATGACCCAGAAGCAGAGGGAACCAGCTGGGCCCAGCCACGGGGAGCCAGAAACATGGGTGAGACCCTCTCCATCCTGGGCAAGGTCCCCATTCTAGGTTTTCTCCTGTTCTGCCCCTAGGGATGCCTTATGGCAGTCGAGAGAACTCCCTCCTCTACTCCGAGATTCCCAAGAAGGTCCGGAAGGAGGCTCTGCTGCTCCTGTCTTGGAAGCAGATGCTGGATCATTTCCAGGTGAGCTGCACCTGGCGGTGCCTGGGCCCCCCCCACCCGGGGGTGAGGAGGTAGGCACAGGGCTCCTCTTGTCACTTTACCTCCTACGGGGCTCACCTGCTGCTGTGTTCATGCAAACCTTGCCCTCTGCCTCCCCAGGCTGTACTTGAGCCTCAGGCTAGGTTTGTGATAAGAACGCTTATCAGGAGCATCTCTCTCGTTCAACTGTATCACCGAAGATTTGGGATTAACTTGGGTCTAGGCCTTTTATGGAGACTGGCTAATAATTAATGTCACCCAAAGGCCCTGCCCTCTGGGGAGGAGCGTGTGGGTGATGGGGAGAGCGGCTTTTGTGTGGGCGTGTCCTTGTTTCTTTCTGATTGTTATAGGACAATACTGGGTGGCCAGGAGAGTGATGTGCTCTGTGCTGCTGGTTCACTTGTGCCTGTCCCAGTTAGCCCCCACGCTGACAAACTTGGGTTTACATATATGTAGCGTTCCTCACAGCAAGGGGAAATTCTTGCTTTCAGTTCTGCTTTTCACATAGGTTTGGNCCTCACCCCTGCCTCAACATGTGATTTTCCCCACCTGTACATGTCTAAATTAACTTTGCATTTTTCATAAATCCTCTTTAAAAGAAAACCTGTTAATCTAATATTTTTCCTTAAACACACTCTTCTGTTACTGTGCTTCAAGAGCACACATTATCACCTGTGGAAAACCTGCATCTCTTGTCATAAGAAGAAGCTACGTATAACAATAAATATAAATGGGTCAGATATTATCTATTAAGCTCTACCCCAGGAGGTGCTGAGCTTGGGGCTTGCCTGTTTTCTCAGGCTTAAAAGCAAGCGAGCACAAGGAGGTCCTGCAGAGGGCGGCATGAAACCAAGTCTTCCTCCTGGAGAAACTCAGGATTAAAAGAGGAACAAAGAGGAACTTGAGCTGTCCGAGATTCATGTTAGCCACGTCACATGTTGCTGGATTGTTCAACACTTGGGGGAGCCCTGTCCTGGTTCCCCAACCTTGTTGCACAGAGAGGGGGAAACTGAAGCTTCCAGAAATAGTCATTCTGCTCCTGCCTTTTAATTTACTAATAACGACAGTACCGTCACCTGTTGAATCTAAGACACTCCCAGTTGGAAGTTACACCATTATTTTATCTGCCACTAAGGACACAATACCACCTTCAGCAGTGAGACCCATGCCAGCTCCAGGGATGTGAATATGTGAACACCACAGCTTACCGAGTGACACTTGCATTGTGCTCAGGGTTTCCCATTTTGTATCTCACCTCATCCACACGAAACCCCTGTTTGGCAGCTACTGCCATACCTCACTTTTTAGGAAGGTTAGATTAAATCAGCAGTTCCCAGTCAGGGGTGATCATGCTCCCCCGACTCCAGGGAATATTGGGCGATGTCTGGAGACATCTGTGGTTGTCACGACTGGGGGTGCTCCTGGCACGGAGTGGGTGGAGGCCAGGGATGCTACTCAGCACCCTCAGTGCCCAGGACGGCCCCACCCCAGAGAATGACCTGGCCCAAACGTCATTAGTGGCAAGGTTGAGAAACCCTGGATAAAGATTTTCCTTATTCCTTTTTGTAGGTTCCGCCCTTACTCTAAACCTAGATTGATTTAATTCTTGGCCTTTGCAAAAACCTTTGGTAAAAAAGGACCTTTGAGAGCCTGTTGAGATTTGGGTATCTCCAAGCGACCTTTTTTTGTTCTCCTGTGAGCTATTTTTTCAGTAATTGAGGCCACAGTATTCAGCACACATAACTTAGAGCGGGGAGACCCTATCAGTGATGTGGCTTTTTGGGCAGCGGTGTGCCTGGCAGAATGACCCAGAAGCAGAGGGAACCAGCTGGGCCCAGCCACGGGGAGCCAGAAACATGGGTGAGACCCTCTCCATCCTGGGCAAGGTCCCCATTCTAGGTTTTCTCCTGTTCTGCCCCTAGGGATGCCTTATGGCAGTCGAGAGAACTCCCTCCTCTACTCCGAGATTCCCAAGAAGGTCCGGAAGGAGGCTCTGCTGCTCCTGTCTTGGAAGCAGATGCTGGATCATTTCCAGGTGAGCTGCACCTGGCGGTGCCTGGGCCCCCCCCACCCGGGGGTGAGGAGGTAGGCACAGGGCTCCTCTTGTCACTTTACCTCCTACGGGGCTCACCTGCTGCTGTGTTCATGCAAACCTTGCCCTCTGCCTCCCCAGGCTGTACTTGAGCCTCAGGCTAGGTTTGTGATAAGAACGCTTATCAGGAGCATCTCTCTCGTTCAACTGTATCACCGAAGATTTGGGATTAACTTGGGTCTAGGCCTTTTATGGAGACTGGCTAATAATTAATGTCACCCAAAGGCCCTGCCCTCTGGGGAGGAGCGTGTGGGTGATGGGGAGAGCGGCTTTTGTGTGGGCGTGTCCTTGTTTCTTTCTGATTGTTATAGGACAATACTGGGTGGCCAGGAGAGTGATGTGCTCTGTGCTGCTGGTTCACTTGTGCCTGTCCCAGTTAGCCCCCACGCTGACAAACTTGGGTTTACATATATGTAGCGTTCCTCACAGCAAGGGGAAATTCTTGCTTTCAGTTCTGCTTTTCACATAGGTTTGGATTTTTTTGGTGGCTGTACCATACGGGGATCCGAACCCTGAACCTTGGTGTTATCAGCCCTGCGCTCTACTGAGTGAGCTAACTAGCTGGTTCCCAGTTCTGCTTTTTAAAAATGCGTTTGTTTTCCTTGGTTTCTCTCCCTGTGTCCACATGGTCCTCAGAATTCTCCTACATCTGTGTGTTTTGCACTAGCGTTTACCTGCCTGAACTTCAGGAGCGGGGCATTTGGGTCATCAGGTTGTCTTAAATTTGCACTGGATTTACTGTGGTCCGATTGAAGGTGTTCAACTTATGATTTTTAACTTATTGATGGTGTAAAATCTCTATGCATTCGGTAGAAACTGTACTTTGAGTACCCATACAATTATTCTGTTTTCACTCTCAGTACAGTATTTCATAAATTACATGAGATATTCATCACTTTCTTATAAAATAGGCTTTGTGTTGGATGATTTTGCCCAACTGTAGGCTAATGTAAGTGTTCTGAGCACATTTAAGGTAGGCTAGGCTAGGGTGTTAGTAGGTTAGGTGTATTCAGTGCATTTTTGACTTGCAATATTTTCAACTTATGATTTTTTTTTAATATATATCATTCATTTTCTTTGAGAAGCTTTTTTTTTTTCTAACCGGTAAGGGGATCGTAACCCTTGGCTTGGTGTTGTCTGCACCATGCTCAGCCAGTGAGCTAACCAGCCATCCCTATATAGGATCTGAACCCGCAGCCTCGGCGCTATCAGCGCCGCACTCTCCCGAGTGAGCCACAGAGCCGGCCCTTCTTTGAGAAGTTTTATATAAAAAGTACCTTCTGCAGGCTAGCTGGTTAGCTCAGTTGGTTAGAACACAGCCTTACAACACCAAGATTGTGGGTTCAGATCCCCGTAAAGGCCAGCTGCAAAAAAAAAAAAAAAAGTACTTTATGCAGATCATACACAGTCTAGGAAGAATTCAAATATGCTGTGTGTAAATCAGTCTAGCTAGTCTAGAAGGCTTTCTGCAAAGCCGTACTGTTCCATTGAGTCAGACATACCAGAGTTTAGATCCTCTGCCTTTAATGAAACCAACCACGTTTTTACTTGATCAACGTCCTGTAAAACCACTTTTCCCATGTCCATTTTCAGAAAGTGCACATTCTCATAATTTGCAGTGGAGAGGTACCGTCATTGGTCCTTTGTAATAATATTATTTTTCTTTGTCCCTGTTGTCTAATACCTGGTTATCAGAGATATGTTAATTATACATTTGCTTTGGTCAACATCGGGATGTTACCCCATCATAAGTCAGGGAGCATCTATGTGGGTATGTGGTGTTGGGTGGGTTTAGATTGAGTGCTCTTGGTGGGAAGGGTTGGTGAGCAGGGTGGGAGGGTAGGGGATCTGCACTGGGAACCAGGAGAGAGCACTCAGTGCTGTGGGGACTGCCACCCCAGCAGCCCCGTCTGCCTTGCAGAGATTTGGTGGGCGACGGGCTCAGGAAGGGAGGAGGCTTCAGGTGGGCCCTGGCAATCCTTCCCCACCACTGCCTCAGACGGTCAGCCAGTCCTGCTGTCCACCCTCGCTGCCCCCTCTTAGGCCACTGAGTTAGGAGGGTTTGGCTGCCTGTTCTGCTCAGCACAGAAAGTTCTCTCTGGCATGGCCAAAGTCACATTCCCCCCAGGCATGCCTAGACTGGAGGATTTCTGCCCTGGTGAGCCCCAGAGCTCGAGGCCTCCTCTGCTGATGCTGTGACCCGTCCCATGTATCCTCAGGCCACACCCCAGCATGGGGTCTACTCCCGGGAGGAGGAGCTGCTGAGGGAGCGGAAGCGCCTGGGGGTCTTCGGCATCACGTCTTACGACTTCCACAGCGAGAGTGGCCTCTTCCTCTTCCAGGCCAGCAACAGTCTCTTCCACTGCCGCGATGGGGGCAAGAACGGCTTCATGGTGAGTCCCGTCCCAGCAGGGCGTGGAGCAGCGCGGGCGGGCACCTGCCCCCCTGAGCCGGGCCTCTCTGTCCTCAGGTGTCCCCCATGAAGCCGCTGGAAATCAAGACCCAGTGCTCAGGACCCCGGATGGACCCCAAAATCTGCCCCGCCGACCCTGCTTTCTTCTCCTTCATCAACAACAGCGACCTATGGGTGGCCAACATTGAGACAGGCGAGGAGCGGCGTCTGACCTTCTGCCACCAAGGTAAGGCCAGCAACATGGCCAGAGCCCAGATAGACAGAGCCTGCCCCCCCGGTGTGGTGCAGCGGCCAGGCTGGGCCACTGCTTCCTGTGGTGGCTGTTGTAGCCGCCATCCCAGCTTCTAGAAGAACCTCGCCCCCATGGCCAGGTGTCCTCTTGTGCACTGTTCCCACCAGGTTGCCCCCCTCCAGCCTTGCAGGAAGTCCCACCGTGTCCCTGCCTGGCTGTGGTTTCTCTCTGTGGGAATTGGCCCAGCTGGGGCACTGGGCTTCTTATGCACTCTGGCTCTTTGTCCCCTTCCCACCACCACCTGTCCGTCCCACGCCATCCAAGTGGAGCTCAAATCTCACCTGCTTCCTTGATTCACCTCATTCCAGTGTTCGACGGAAACGACCCCGTCCTTCCTCAGATGTCTGCAGAAGTCTGCGACATGGCGTCAAACCATGGGTCCTTGTCTTCCCCATCCCACAGCCCTGTCCCCTCTTTCTAAACCTGGTGTCCAGACACATTTTTAGTTGGTGCACCTGGGAGGTGCTCCTGGCATGGAGTGGGTAGAGGCCAGGGACGCTGCTCACCTGCAGTGCCCAGGACCGCCTCAGCCCAGATGACAACCTGGCCCAATGTCCACAGTGCTGAGGGAGAGACACTACTTTGAATCAGCCCTGAGTTCCTCGGTTCCTTCTGTGCTCTCCCAAGAGTTCCTGGCGTGCACCTCATTGTTAGAAGGCTGGTCATCTCTCACCTGCGCCCTTTCTTTCTCCTTCCAGGTCTATCCAATGTCCTGGAGGACCCCAAGTCTGCGGGGGTGGCCACCTTCGTCATTCAGGAAGAATTCGACCGCTTCACGGGTTACTGGTGGTGTCCCACATCCTCTTGGGAAGGTAGGTCCCTTTTCGTTTTTTAAAGATGCTCCTGCCTGTGCTTCTTTTCTTCACCAGAATTCCAGTCTCCATACTTCTCTGTTTCTTCCTTCCTTTGCTTAAGATGATCCCTGCGATCTTTGTAGATCAGCCCGTAGAGAGCTCTTCTCAAACGACTGTAGACATTCCTGTCGCATGGATGTTTATTTAACTAGTTCCACACTGACGGACCCTTTGGTTGTATCCAATTTGGGGTTTCAGTTTTGCTTTGGTGTTATAAACAATACTGTGATGAACATCTTCATACAAATATCTGGGTAACATGGGAGGATGTCATGGGTCTCAACTGGGGTGATTCTCCCCCCCAGGGGACACCAAGTGATGTCAGGGCACATTTGTGGTTGTCATGACTGGAGGGTGCTCCTGGCATGGAGTGGGTGGAGCCCAGTGACACTGCTCAGCACCTGTAGTGCCCAGGACGGCCTCACCCCAGGGAGTGATCCAGCCCCAGTATCCACAGTGCTGAGGGGGAGACCCTGCCATGGAGAAAATTCCTAGCTGTGCGGCCACTGAATTGAAGTCACCGGCATCTTCAGTTGTGGGGGACTTTGCCTGCAGTTGGTGAAAGAAGCCAGATCTGCAGGTCCCTTTGTGTCTGTTCAGTCCCCATAGGGCAGGGGTGTCTTAGCCTCATCCTTCTTCAGTCAAGCTGCATCCATCTGTTGTTTCCTGGGATGTGCCAGGGTTGGGATTGAGATCGCTTTGTTTTCACGCGCCCCTGCCAAGATTTGCCCCACTCCAGGCTCGGCCAGGTCCCCACTGCCGGCTGATGGCCCTGAGGCCTTCGCATGTCTGTGTGTCAGTGCAGCACATGGTCAGCAGGAAAGCCAAGCTTCCCAAGCATCAGTCACTCCCTGGCCACCTTCGCAGGCTTCACAGAACCCACCTTCTCCCTCTTCTGTGGCTCACCATGTGACTTTACATCAAGTTACCTTTTAAAGTAAATTTTATTTTTTTGGCCGCTGGCTGGTGCGGGAATCTTGACCCTGGACCTTGGTGTTGTCAGCACTATGCTCTACCAGCTGAGCTAACTGGCCGGCCCTCACCTTTGATCGAAGTTGACTTGAAAAGAACTCTGTGGTCCCAACATCAATGGAAAACCAGGACTACATACCACGTAGAAGGCACCCATTAAAATCGCATGATGGGAAACACACCAGCACTGTGTGGTTCCAGCTGCTCTCAGGAAAAGGGATTCATTGCCACAGTGGGGCGGTGTCTGAGGCAGGCCGGTACCTGCCAACACGGGACCAAGAGAGAACTGCAGAGATCACTGTGGCCTTCCCCTTCGTCTGGGCCGTGGTCTTCCAGCATGCCGTGATGTTTCTGGAGATGACGCCATTGGCTGTCTTAGATGACTCACTGAGCGGCAGGTCCGGAGCCCTTCTCGGTGGCCAGGAAGGGATGGAGGCTCTGTCCCTACCATGTCATCCTGTCCGGTTGGCCAGGCTCCTCAGCTGTTGCCATGCAGTGATCGTTTACTTCTCGTGACAATTTTTATTGTTGTCCTTCTTTGACCATGCCACATGTATTAGTCTGCTCAGGCTTCCATAACAAAACATCACAGACTGGGTGGTATAAACAACAGAAATGTATTGTCTCACGTTCTGGAGGCTGGAAGTCTCAGATCAGGGTGTGGACAGGGCTGGTTTCTCCTGAGGCCTCTCTCCTTGGTGTGTAGATGTTGTCTTCTCCCCATGTCCTCACATGGCCGTCCTGCTGTGCATGTCTATGTCCTGACCTCCTTTGCTTATAAGGACACAAGTCCTACTGAATTAGGGCCCACCCCAATGACATCATTTGACCTTAATTCTCTCTCTAAAGGCCTGTCTCCAAACTCACATTGTGATGTACTCAAATTTAGGACTTCAACATATGAGTTTTAGTGGGGGACCCAGTTTGGCCCATAACGCCCCAGATGGCCACCTCCTGTGCTATTTCATGCTGTGAACAGCTCTTCTCATTTTCATTATACAAGTAAGGAAACTGAGGCCCAGAGAGGACAGCTGACTGGTTTAAAGTCGAAAAAATGGCAGAGCCAAAGTTTACGGGCCTATGCTCTCAATGTTAGGCTCAGTCATGGCAGAGTAGGGACCCCCCCATGGGCCTGAAGGGGGACGGGGATGGCAGGGGGGATGCCATACCAGTTCCCAGTGTCCTCAGCAGCTCCCCCTGTCCCCTCCAAGGTTCTGAAGGCCTCAGGACACTGCGAATCTTATACGAGGAAGTCGATGAGTCAGAGGTAGAAATCATTCATGTTCCTTCTCCAGCGCTGGAAGAGAGGAAGACAGACTCATACCGATACCCCAGGACAGGTGAGTGCCTGGGACAGGTGGGCACCTGGGACAGAGGAATGCCCGGGACAGGTGAGCGGGGCTTAGTCAGGACTGGTGAGGTGCACTGTCCCCCAGGCCCTCGGGCTGTGCATGTGCACACTGAGCACCTGTGGGAGACAGGAGTCTGCCCTTTCGGGGACACCCCCTCTCCCGGCTTATGTAGGCCTCATGATCATGCAGCTCAGAGGTCAGCAAACTGGCTTTGGAAAGGGCTAGAGAGCAAATATTTTAGGCTTCGTGGGCCAGACAGAGTCTCTGTTCCAACTGTTCAACAAAAGCCACCATAGACAGCACATAGGAGAATGGGCACGGCTGGGTGTCAATAAAACTTTATTGAAATTTGAATTGCAAATGATTCAAATTTGAATTGCGTATAACTTTCCCATTAGACAAAATATCATTCTTCTGATTTTTTTTTTTTTTACCCTTTAAAAATGTAAGAAGGCTTTTTAGTTGCATAAAAACAGGAGGCAGGCTGGACTTACTTGGCCAGTAGTTGGCCGAGTATGCAGCCAGACAGGACCATGGTGAACACCTTTCCATGTGCCGAGTCACACCCTGGTCATTTCTCCAGCTTCATTTCACTTTTGTCCTGTCCTGTTCGGTTACTTTTTGGTCCCTCTGCAGTGCACATGTGTTTTGTTTGGCTCAGAAAATATTTTAAACTAACTCAAGAGACATTTAAGAATTGCCAGATTCTGCCTTCCAGCCTGCTGTTTACAGCCTCCTTGGAAGCAAGTAAGAGAATCATTATTGCTGACTTTAGTGAGTACCTCTGTGCTGTGCTGGACAGAGGCTTCCCAGGGGACATTTCCAATCCTACCACAAATGAGCAAGTTGGTCTTTTCCCCAACATTTGACACATGAGAAAACCAAGGCTCAGAGATGTTACCTGTCTGGGGTGCTAGAGCCACATGGGCCGGAGGTGAGATTTGTCATAGATCTAACTGACAAAGATAAGCATTTTCTGCTCTGCCATGGCACGAGACGTCCAAACCTTTTTGCGCTGTCAGTGGTTTTATTGTGATGTATCTCGTCTTTGCAACCAGCTCTCAAGCTCTCCAAAGGCAGGGACAGTGTCTTCTGCAAGTCTGTGTCCCCCACCACCTCCCAGCTCCCAGCACGGGGTCTGACCTATGTTTTAAACAATACGATAGATGTCACATCACTATCGAGAATATGGTCCAGGCCAAAAGTCAGATGGTCCCCACCTGGAAGACTTTGCACGTGTGCTGGGGAGCGTGTTATACCTTGGAAAGACCTTTGGACACCCAGCTTTTCCCCCATGCTCCCCTGGCTGTCCCGCCTCTCTGTGGGGATCACCAGCCTCAACCCCACACATCTGCTGTCAGTGCTTGGGTGACACCTTCCAGGCGCTCAGCTTGCTTTTGTTTTTGCAGGCAGCAAGAATCCCAAGATTGCCTTGAAACTCGCTGAATTCCAGACTGACAGTCAGGGCAAGGTAAGGGAACCTGGTACGTCCCAGAGAAGCATCCAGATGAAGAGGGAGGGGCCAGGTAGACAGCCAGGCGGGACCAGCAGGCCGTTTGCCTCCATCCTGGGGCCAGGTGCTGCCCTTGGCCATGGCTACAGGTGATCCCTTCATCCCCAAGTCTCCATCTGTGAAACGAGTCACGGTGAGCCTAGTCTCACCTGCTTCCCAGGGTGGCTGTGGGACTCAAGGAGATACACCAATGAATGAGCTTCGAGCATAGCGGCAGGGTGTGTTCAAGCCTCACAGGAGGGTGGGACTTGCAGGACCAGCAGTCCGCTCTGTCCAAGCTTCTAGAACAGAGAACTCTGTGGCACAGATGTCTCAGGGACCCCGAGCTTGGACGGGGCAGCTCCCCCATCCCAGCATTTTGGGCAGATCCTCACAGGTCACTTCACTGGACCTCTCAATTGCTGTGGGATGGGCATTGTTCTGGATCCTTCTCTCAATCACCTCCTAGACATCAAGGACAAGGGGTCCTCTTCACCCAGGGAGGTGGCATGTGGAACTCCACATCCATGAGGTGGCATCAGGTGGCAAAAGCCGTCATCACCCCGAAGCCAAGCAGTCACTAGCTAATAATCTGTGACCACATCCCCCTAGGCTCCTGCCCCAGCCCAACACCTCCCCGTCTGTCGGGACTCTGCCCTCCCTGCGGGTGCTTTGATTGCCGAGTGCTAGTGAGCTCTCTCGGGAAACTGCATATCCCACAAGACAGAGGGGTTGGTGAAGTTCAGCTTGCAGGCCGAGCCCTGGCCAAAGAAGCTATGGCAGAGAGGAGCCATTGACCAAGGGGATGCCAGGTGTCCAGAGAAGACCCCACATGACAGAGGAGAAGAGCTGGGACAAGCTGAGGAAGCACTTATGTCCTCGTGCAAGAGTAATTTTTCACATCATATAACATTTCAGGGGAGATGTAAGATAAAATCTGCCTATTTTTGTAATCTAGGGGGGTCACATTTTGTTTTCAGCATGATGAGCCCTCACCAGACCTCTTTTGCACTCTTGACTGGAACATTCTGGCAGATTTTAGGCGGATCTGCCATAAGCTGCACTGCTGGGGTCCATGTGAAAGCCCCCGCCAGGCTGTTTCCAGCAGTTTCTGGCCCTCTCAGATGTGCGGGGTCCTTAGGTGGGCGTGAGTTGTGCCAGTCGGACAAAGCCAGCGGATAGGGGGCTAGCACCGCTCAAGTGCCAGCAGGGAGTCCCTGCCTTCCTTTCTCCCTTTGGTCCCCTGAGTAGATGCCACACCAGCCCCATTTAGGCTTGAGGAAGCCACAGGTTCTGGCGGCTGTGTTTGTCCAAGGCCACCTGGCTGTATGGAGACAGCCACACCAGAACCTTTGGCTTTCAGCACCAGCTGGGGTGCCCTGGTGGGCTCGCCTAACCTGTCTGCTCCCGTTGGGTGACTATAGTAGTTTCTTAGGGCCACCATAGCAAAGTAGCACAAATTGAGCAGTTTAAACAACAGAAATAGCTTAAACAGCAGAGATGTATAATCTCACAGTTCTGGAGACTAAAAGGCCAAAATGTAGGTGTCGGCAGGCCGGTTCCTCCTGAGACTGGGAGGCAGCATCTGTTCCAGGCCTCTCTCCTTGGCTGGTAGATGGCATCTTCTCCCTATGTCTCTTCATAAGACAGTTTCCCTGTGTGCTTGTCTGTGTGCACACCTCTCCCTTCTTTAAAGACACCAGTCACACTGGATCAGGGCCCACGCTGCTCTAGTATGACTTCATCTTAACTCATTACATCAGTGAGCCCCTTATTTTCAAGGAGATTACATTCTGAGGTCCTGGGCAGTAGGACTCCAACACAGGAATTGTGGGGGAGGGTCCCAACTCAACCCCACCCAGCACCATCTTTAGGCAGCGCGTGGGTGGCAGGAACATGACCTGAATCCACTTCCCTTTCAGATTGTCTCGGCCCAGGAGAAGGAGCTGGTACAGCCCTTTAGCTCACTGTTCCCGAAGGTGGAATATATCGCCAGGGCCGGGTGGACCCGGGACGGCAAGTAGTGAGTGTCTCCATGTGATGTCACCCTGGGCATTCACATTTGGGGCCCGGGGACCCTGGGTGGACCCTCGAATCTGTCCTCCCAGCCTTTCTTGCCATCCTGTCTGCTCCCGAGTCTTCTCACAGTGCCTCAGCCAGAGCAGGGCTCAGCCCACCTGCCTCCCTTGTTTCTGAGGATGCCTAACCTCACCCAGTTGGCGGACAACAAACTGGGCTTCTACATCCCAGTGTGGGTACCACCGGGTCATCTTGACCACGTTTCCCAGACAGGGCCTCAGACCTGAAGAGGTGATTTCCAGTGGCCCCAGGCCCCAGGTCATAAGGAGCACTGAGTCCCCAAATAGCAGTCCTCCCTTACTTACTGTTCGACCCTCCTACCTATGTCAAGGAGAAAAATCTCTTTAACACCTCTCTATACCAGGGGCCCCAAACTGCAGTGGCCAGATTCAGCTCGCCACCCATTTTTGTGAGGCCCGTGAGCTCAGAATGGCTTTCACACTTTCAAATGATTGGTGGGGGGAAGAGGGGAGATCCAAAAAAGAAGAATATTTCATCACTTGTGAAAACAATATGAAGGTCCAGAGTTTAATCCCTGCAGCCACAAGAAGAGAAAAGAAAAAGCTAATCTTACGAAATTTACATCCTGGGGTCCATACATAGGGTTTTTTTTTTTTTTTTTTTTTTTCAGAAAGGGGGTTGCAACCCCCTTTCTGAAAAAAAAAAAAAAACCTTTTTTTGGAACCCCGGGAGGAAAATTTCCAAAAATAACCTTTTTTTTTTTTTTTCAGAAAGGGGGTTGCAACCCCCTTTCTGAAAAAAAAAAAAAAACCTTTTTTTGGAACCCCGGGAGGAAAATTTCCAAAAATAACCTTTTTTTTTTTTTTTCAGAAAGGGGGTTGCAACCCCCTTTCTGAAAAAAAAAAAAAAACCTTTTTTTGGAACCCCGGGAGGAAAATTTCCAAAAATAACCTTTTTTTTTTTTTTTGTTTAGTAAGGGGATTGCAACCCTCGGCACGGTGTTGTCTGCACCACGCTCAGCCAGTGAGCGCACCGGCCATCCCCATATAGGATCCGAACCTGCGGCCTCAGTGCCACCAGCGCCACACTCTCCCGAGTGAGCCACGGGGCCGGCCCTCTGTACATAAAGTTTTATTGGCACACAGCCACGCTCATTCCTTTACGGGTTATCTACAGCTGCTTTCTTGCTACAACAGCACAGTTGGGTAGTCCCGTCAGAGACTGGCCTGTGAAGCCACAAATATTTCCTACCAGACCCTGTTTTATGGAAACCATGTCTACCCCCTGCCCCAGACACTTGCTGGGTCCCCTTCCCAGCAGACTTCAGGCTTAGCGCCTCAGGCAGGCCGTGGGCTGCGATTAGGACTTCTGCAGGCCTCTGAGGCCTCCGGCTTCTTATCTTCTCCTCTTAGTGCCTGGGCCATGTTCCTGGACCGTCCCCAGCAGTGGCTGCAGCTTGTCCTCCTCCCCCCAGCCCTGTTCATCCCGACGACCAAGAGCGATGAGCAGCGGGAGGCCTTCTCCAGGGCTGTCCCCAAGAATGTCCAGCCATATGTGGTTTATGAGGAGGTCACCAGCGTCTGGATCAACGTAAGGGGGGGAGTGCTGGGTGTGTCCCAGGGGTCACGCTCTACCCTACCCCCAGGTCCCCAGCCGGGTGTGTGGAAGTGTCCCTAGGGCTGGGCCATCCCCAGCCAAGGAGAGAGGGAGACCAGGTGGCTGGTGAGCCTGGCCAGCATCCCGGCCTCAGCCACCCCCACCTTCTGACTGCATCTCCTCTCTCTCTTCTGTCCCAACAGGTCCATGACATCTTTTATCCCTTCCCCCAGTCGGAGGGAGGGGAAGAGCTCTGCTTTCTCCGTGCCAACGAGTGCAAGACCGGCTTCTGCCACTTGTACAAAGTCACCGTGGTCTTAAAACCCACTGGCTATGACTGGAGTGAGCCCATCAGCCCCAGGGAAGGTGAGCAGAGCCTGACAAGTGTTCCTGCCTCATGGAGTTAGTCACCAGTGGCTCAGTGACCCTGCCACTGCCAGAGCATGCCCCTTAGGAGAGAGAGCAGGGATGAGTAAACCTCCCTCCCCCACAGATCATTCATGACCTGGCGGGGGTCACAATAGCCAACTAGTGGCTTACTCCATTAGCGGTTATTTATTGAGCACCATTTGCCTGATCAGGGGTTGGCCCTAAAGTTGTATCTGGCCCACCAGCTGTTTTAATCAATAAAGTTTTATTGGCACACAGCCATGCCCATTCGCTTAGGGATTGTCCGTGGCTGCTTTTGTGCTACAACCGCACAGTTCAGTAGTCACTACAGAAACCCTGTATCTCCCAAAGCCACAAATATTTGCTCTCCGGCCCCTCATAGAAAGTTGTTGACCCCTGCTCCATGGATATAATTGTGAAAAAAGAGAAATAAAAATCCCTGCTCTTGTGGAGCATTTTAGTGGAGGGGACAGGCAGTAATCCAAAAACAAGTAGAGGTGCTATCTCAGGAGTGACGAGCATGAAGGGTGAGAGGCCTTCTTTCTGGAAGGGGAGGTTAGGAGGAATCTCTGGGTGACGTGCCATGGAGCAGAGACCTGGAGGAGGTGACAGAAGGAGCCACACGGTGCACTCCAGGCCAAGGGCACAGCCCATGCAAAGGTCCTGAGGCAGGACCATGCCTGGTGTGTTGGAGGAACAGTGAGGAGGCCTGTGTAGCTGGGGCAGAGAGAGGAGGGGGAGAGGGAGGTGGCAGGGAAGGGAGGGGACAGGGCAGGTCGTGCAGGGCCTGGTGGGCTGCCGGGAGGACTTGGGCTTTTACCCCAGGGGAAACAGGAAGTCATTGTTGTTAGGTGGGTTTGAAATGATGCCTCTGGCTGCCATGGAGTGCGGGCTGAGGGGCTAGGAGAAGTAGCAGGCCTGGGGTCCTGGCAGTGGGGCTGAGCTGTTCCAGTGGATTCGGTGCTGCATGTGCAATGACTCCTGAGCCAACGTGGCTTGCTGGTGCAATGGGTGTGGGGTCTGAGAGAAGGATGTGGGCTGGGTGCCTGGGAGGTGTCCAGAGGTCCAGTCTGAGGCAGAAGGCTCTGAGAGGGCCCGTTTTAGGAGAAAAGAATCCGTAGTTGGCTTTTAGATGTGTTCAAGTTAAAGTGTCCAGTAGCAGAGAGTCCACAGGGGCTGGTTCCCAGGTCCAGAGTTCTTGGAGCACAGTAGATTCCCAACGGGAGCATGAGTCTCCTTGCTCACGTATGGTTTCTCAGCCTTGGCGCTGTACAGAGCACCAAAGGGGTACGTCTGGTAGAAAGGCAGTGTGGTCTGAGAGCTCAGCTGAGCTCCTCTAGGTTAGAGCAGATCTCTGCCTGGGCGCTGTGGCCATCGGGGTTGGATCACTCTGCGGTGGGGCAGTCCTGGGCACTGCAGGTGCTGAGCAGCGTCCCTGGGCTCCACCCACTGCATGTCAGGAGTCACCCCCCCCATCGTGACAATCACAGATGTCTCCAGACATGGCCCAGTGTCCCCTGGGGGGCAGGATCACCCCAAGTAACCCCAACAGTTTAGAGGCTGAGCCACAGACAAGAGTAAGTCAGCCACCAGAGCAACAGACAGAGACCCAAGGGAGGGTGGCTTTCAAGAGCCAGGGGAGAAAGCACGTTGGCAACAGGCAGTGCCACAGCGGCAGCCAAGGAGGACATGACACGCTGTGACCGTGGACTCGGGCCGTCAAGGCTGTCCTCATGGTCATCCCTTGGGGCGGATGCAGCCGTCACAGCTGGCCAAGCTATCTCCAAGGAGAGCTTTCTATGGCTCATTGGAGTTTTGTTTTTTGGTGTATTGTCTGTGTGGTGGAGCCACCACTCCCTAACATGGGGAATTTCACTTAAAAATCCTCATTCCTGCCTCCTGTTGAAACACGAGTGAGGAGCAGGCAGAGGGAGTGTCAGGACGAGACATACGGCTCTCACTGCCAGGGTCACAGCCCAGGGCAGGGCTGCGCAGATGTTGAGGGCAGGACCCTTGGGGCCTGAGAAATGTGGGCTCAAACCCAGAGGCCTCACAGAGGGTGGGGCGGCAGCAGAATGACTTGGGGCCGGGCCGGCCTGGGGCGGGAGGCTGTGGTCAGTGGGTGGCTGGCGCAGTAGGGCTCCCCAGCCTGCACGCTCCTCTGCGGGCAGGAGTATTGGTCATAGGCTGGGGTGGGGGCAACTCTGTCCTCTAGTCTTGTTGCAACAAGGAACTCTGCCCAACCTCTACCCCAGGAGAAGGCTACGTCTGCTCATCCTGTGCTGTGTGTGGGCAGGAAATGTGTCCCTTCCATGGTGCATGTTTGCAATAGTTTCCTTTAAACCCAAAAGGATATGAGAGAAAAATGAGCTATCACCAGTAAACTGTCTTTATGCCTTTCTAATATGTGCCAACAAACATCCAAGTTATTATTTACCTGGTGAAAAACTGAAAGCGAGGTCTATCCCCAGCAGAAAAAAAGAAGGAAAAACCTATCATGCAGGCACAGCCAGGCCTTTGCCTGTAGCCAGGATGCTTTCATCAAAGTCTGGTCCTGAAAAATCCCATCATGGCCTAAGAGGTCACAGGCCTGGGCCTGGCAGGTGGCTTTTTGTCTCCCGTGCTGCACACCTGTATGTTGTTTGACCTTGGAACGGTTCTCACATTAGGAAATTCTGATACACATCTAGATGCCTGGTTGTTGCTGAGAAGTGCTGGGCCTGCCATCCACATGGCAGGAACTTGCCCCACAGCCCCCGTGGCCGGTCCGACAGGTCCCCACCTTGTCCATGGCTTGGACTCAGCCAGCCCACCCCTCCCATCATCCCTCTGGTGTCTGTTCCTGTCTGAGTTTGCCGCAAACCCAGGTTGTGGCAGTTCTGTGGTGAAAGTTTGCTTGGGTGACACTTGGCCTCGGTGGCTTTGGGTCCCTGCTATTGTTTCCTGGGTCCCTTCACTTCTTTCCCTTTCCTTACTTCCAGATGAATTTAAATGCCCCATTAAGGAGGAGATCGCTCTGACCAGCGGTGAATGGGAGGTTTTGGCCAGGCACGGCTCCAAGGTACCAGAGTCTCCTCGCAGCCCTTCCCTCCGCCCTGCACGCACATGTGTATGTTCACGCATGTGCACATGCGCACACCCTCCAGCCCCTGCAGGTCTGTGGCTTCTCTCTTTTCTCCCTTGCTCCTCCACTTCCCTCTCTGTTCCCTCCTCACTGCTCAACACACCCAGGGGCTGGGGGCTCTGGTTCTGACCAGCTGAAGAGGAAGAAGCGTCGCAGTCCTGAGCCAGGATCCCGGTGGGGAGGGCCTAGGCCATTCTCTGTGCTGCCTGAGGGCTTCAGTTCTCCTCCTCCTGCTCCAGAAAGCCACCTCTGCCCAGTAGCACAGTTTGTCAGGACATTCCTGCCTGCAATAGGATTGTCATGCAGCTGCCGACCACAGCCCATCCCACACCAGCCCTTGGGAAGTTTTCAGACAAAAGGTACAGCTGAAGCTCTCCCCAAAACCCCAGCATAAAAATTCAGCAAGACTCTGCCTTGGACCGAGGTGTCTGCACCAGGGTCTAGTTCCACAGAATTCCAAATTTTTTAGAGGAACTCCTTGATCTAACTTCCTGGATCCCTACCTCACACCAAAACAGATGCCTCCCAGACCAAAGACTTAAATTTGAAGAATGAAACCCTCCATAGGGCTAACAAGAGCTGTAGGTGAACATCACGATAGCCTGAGGTGGAGAAGCCAGTGCACCCCTACTCAGGGCTGGCAGGAGAAGGGGAGCCTGACACTCCAGTCAGCACAGTTGGGGCAACAGGGCTTAGCTTTTCTGGGGGCAGAGGTGCTGTGTGTGTTACAATGTCCATATGCATCTCGTCTGACCCAGAAACCCCAGTCTAGGTGTGGACCCATGCAGGTCATCCTGGAGCACATTCGAGATATTTGCACACTCATGTGCTTCTCAGCATCGTTTGTATGATGGAAGTGACAGATGGTTTCTGACTGACGATGGTTTGACTTTTGATTTTTCAACTTCATGATGGGTTTATGGGGACATTGTCTCATCATAAGTCAAGGACTTTGTTACCACTTACGACGGGGTTATGGTTTCTGCTGAGCATGAATCACTTTTGCATCATCATACAGTCAAGCCATCATAGGTTGAACTGTTGTAAGCTGGGGACCATCTGCTGTGTTCCCAGCATTAAGTGCATTTTTTACTTACGACACTGTCAACTTATAATGGGTTTATGCGGACATAGCCCCGTTGTAAGCCTAGGAGCATTTGTAGCTGTCAGTAGCCACCTGAGCGAGTGAGAGAGGAAGGACAGGGGTAGGTCCAGGTTATGTAGGTGGCCAGTAGATCACACTGGAACCACGCCCATCTGAACACCCTGTCGCTGTCTTGGAAAGAGGTCACTGAATTGTCAGGGAAAGAAACAGGCCCCTTTCTGTAGTTTCATATCCACATCTTTATTTGCTAAGTGAGAAGGTCAGGAGGTGGGCCACCAAAGGTTAAACCACAGTCAGTGGTCACCTGCTGTACATCTCCCTGCTGTGGCTCAGCTGGGTCACCAGAGTCACCCCCAGCTCATAGCCTGGCTTGATCCCTCACTGGGTGGGGACTATATAAGTCTTAGTTTCCTCAATTGTAAAAATGGGGATATTAAATAGCTCTAAGCCTTCCATCTTTATAGCAGAGTGTCTTCCCCCCTCGGCACTGTGGATATGTGGGGCCATATCACTCTGTGGCAGGGCCGTCCTGGGCACTGCAGGTGCTGAGCAGCATCTCTGACCTCCACCAGCTCCATGCCAGGAGCTCCCTCCCACCGCAGTGATGACAACCACAAATGTCCCCAGACATGGCCCAGTGTCTGCTGGGGGCAGAAGCACACGCATACCCCATAAGGACACTGCTTTAAAGTAATTTGAAGCCTTCAGCACAGGTGTGTGGTATGCACAAGAGACAATATTACTTCTGTATCATTTTGAATGTTTTACCATTTGCACGTCTTATCATTTTACCCTGAAATTAAGAAGAAGAAGAAAAAAAAGAAGCATTTTAAAAGTTAGAAAAGCAAAGTGTGTCCTCCAAAGTCCCCATCGAGGGCTGTGCGCTACAGGTAGCCTTCGAGCCAGGCCTCACTGAGGACGAGTCTCAATGAGCGCCACCTATGCTGGGACATGGCCCCGGCCCCCAGCCCTTGCTGGTGCCACTCTCAGGAAAGCCCCAGGGCCCTGGTGGTCTCGCCGCAGCCAGAAAGGGCTTCCCCCTGTGTGCACATCTTCTCACGTCCTCATGACCAAACCAGCACATAACTACCTGTGGTTTGGGATTTTCCAGCAGAGCCTCTATTTCTAGAAACCCTGAAGGTAAAAGGTACAGTAACAGTGAATACATAAGTATTCATTGTAAAAATCGAATTGTTCCAGATGAGACTAAGATTGGAATCTCCTGTCAGCCTTGCCCCTGACACCAATAACTTCTTCCCCTCCTCTGAAATGATCACTGCAAATCTTCGCACATGAGGACAGGTCTCCCCAGGAAATACACAGCATCACCATTTTAAGGAGTCTGTAGGGTTTTTTTCGAAAATGTGAGTTTATGTGGCCACACATAATTGTGCAGTGGTTATGGAACCAGTCCCACCTTTTTGGACATTGAAGTTGTTACTATTTACTTTAATTAATTAATTAATTTATTTATTTATTTGGTGGTTGGCCAAATAAATAAATCCAGACCCTTCACCTTCATGTTACCAACACCGTGCTGTAACCAAATAAGCTAACTGGCCAGCCCCTCGTTGTTACCCTTTTTTTTTTTCCCCCCAAATCTTAACATTTCGAGCATCCTCATCCTTACATTTTGGATGCCTGGCAGGCGAATTCCTGAGGAGCAGTCCCCAGGAGCGTAATTAGGAGGTCAAGGCTGAGCCTTTTTTTTTTTGTAGGAGTTTTGCCTCCAGGCTGTCAGGGTGGCCCCCACATCTGCACACGCCCCACAAGTCTGAGCCTCAACAGCCCCCCAACCCTAGATGGCTGCTTGCCCGAGGTTCCTTCACGTCCCTTGGGGTCCCCGGTCACCACCTCCCCTGGCCTCTCAGGCCCTGACACAGGGACAGTGCCCTCCTACCCATGCATGAGGGAAGAGCTGGTCCTCCATAGCCTCTGAGTTCCTCTGAGGGTGACTGGTCAATGTCCACTCACCCCCAACAGCAGCATTTGTTTGGCACTTCTTGTGACAATCCCTCCTTTAGCCTCTGCCCCAGGCCCTGTGCTCTCCCCTCCCGCGTCAGCGTCCAGTGTTGGAGTTCTGATTCTGAGTCCCCCCCAGAGAACTTGCAGTCAGCCCACCTAGATCGGGGTCTGCTCCTGGTCCCCGGCGTCAGATACACATATCTCAGAGACAATTCATCTCCAGCCAGTGGGCTAAAGCCACACTTGGGGGAGAACGGGTCCCCTGTCTGCAGCAGGCTGGGCCCTGCTGCCGTGGGGCAGGGAGGCTTGGGAAGCCAGGGCCGGTTGGGGCCGCGTCATGAGGAGCCCCCTGTCCCCCCGCAGATCTGGGTCAATGAGGAGACCAAGCTGGTGTACTTCCAAGGCACCAAGGACACGCCGCTGGAGCACCACCTGTACGTGGTCAGTTATGAGTCAGCAGGCGAGATTGTGCGCCTCACCACACCTGGCTTCTCCCACAGCTGCTCCATGAGCCAGGTGGGCACCCCCAACCCCAAGTATCCCCACACCACTACCCCTGCACCTGCCTGGCAGCTCCCCAAGGGCCAGGCACAGGCTGAAGGTCATTATGTCACCTCTCTTTCTTACAACAGCCCCAAGGCAGGCAGTTCCTACCCACCTCCCAGGTAGGGGGAGGAAGGGAGTAACGTGCCCACCCCCACCCCTCAAGACAGTAAGGGATGGAGACACTCGGAGCCTATCCACTTAGCCTTGGTGCTGCTACTCTGTGTGCAGAGGGATGCACCCCTTAGCCTCTCTGAACATTCTAGAACATCAGGCAGCAGACCTGCAAAGCACCACTCCTGGTCCAGGGCAAGAGTGTGGGTTTAGAGGCCAAGCCTTGGGCTCTGGCTTTGGACCAATCCAGGTCCTTTGGTCATGCCCTGTGGGTCCCTGGCCAGGGGACGATTTCTCTCAGCCTCTGTTTCCATATCTGCAAAACAAGGCGATGCTAGCAGCACCCATTGGATGTAGGTGGATGGGGTTTTGAGGCTTCCACAAGCAAGCACAGGGTGAACACAGCGAATAACTCAGGTGCTAGAGGCAAAGAGAGGGACGCCCCCTGAGAGCAGGATGGGTGGCCAGGATGATGAGGACACTGGCATCCCGCCATGCTCAGTGCCCCCATCCTGCCCGCAGAACTTTGACATGTTCGTCAGCCACTACAGCAGTGTGAGCACACCGCCCTGTGTGCACGTGTACAAACTGAGCGGCCCTGACGACGACCCCCTGCACAAGCAGCCGCGGTTCTGGGCCAGCATGATGGAGGCAGCCAGTGAGTAGCTCCTTCCCTGGCCCCTTCCCCTGGAAGCCTCAGCTTGTCTGTCTGTGAAATGGGTCGCTGCATCCCATTAAATTGTGTGAGGGAGATGGAGCCACCTGGTAGGTGGGAGGAAGCAGCCTGGAGCCCACCTGCTCACCTTCTCCAGTGCCCAGACCCCTCCAGGAGCCCTGAGAGCTCATCATAGGACATCACCAGCGGCCCCCACTGTCTGTGTGCCCTGCTGCTTGAGACTGCCTCCAGTCTGAGCTGCAGTATGCGGGGCGGGGATTCCATTCAGGAAGTGACTATCTGCCAGACAATAATAATGAGCAAGACACAGACCCCATCCTTGGGAAGCCCACAGGCCAGTGGGAAGGTCAGTGAGTAGACACTTTGAACACGGACCAACGTCAAGTTCAAATCCCCCTACCATCCCGCCAAAATAATAAAATAAAATGAACATGCAGATGGGACACACTCCCCACCCGAGCCAGCTCCAAACCTGCCATGGTTCTCAGTTTTAACGCTCCATCCTTTCTCCCTCGCTTTGGGGTCCTGGCTACCCCAGCATAGGCCACAGGGACCCCTGGACAGGGTGTCCTTGTGCTCAGAGGCAGCTGCTACCACAGCACCTGCACAGAGACATGCCGAAGCCTGTGCTTGTGAAAGAAGCACAGGGACGGATGGTCCCAGAGGGGCCTCAGGGCAGCAAGAAGCTCCCAACAACTTGCCCAAAATCTGGAAGGTCCGTAGAAGGAAAACAGTGCTTAGCACTGTGAACCATTTAGTAAAAAAGATGACCTAGCCAGGCCCCTACTCTGCCATGTTGGTGGGTTTCCAGAACATTCTACAAAATAAAAATATTGACGTGTGGGGTGTTTTGCAGGTTAGCAAGCATTTTGTGATACCATCCCCCCCGGAGCATAAGTAGATACAAGGCCTACTCCCTCCCTCCTCAGTCCCCACTGAAACAGTCAACAACTTGGGACCTGGTTTTACAGATGAGAAAACTGAGGCCAGGAAGGGCTCACCAAGGCACCAGCACAGCAGCGAGGGGCAGGGATCAGAGCACAGGTGCCCATGTCTGGAAGGTGAACGAGGGCACCGTTTCCTGAAACTCCGCATTTGGGCTACGTTGTCACCTGTATCAGGAATTGACCAACTGCAGCCCGAGGGCCACATCAGCCACCCACAATCATTTATGGGTTGCCCGTGGTTGCTTTTGGGCCACAACAGCAGAACTGAGTAGTTAGGACAGACATACAAAATCAGGCCTGCCAAGCTGAAAATATTCCCTGTCAGGCTGTTTACAAGTAAACTTCTGCTGTCCCAACCTGTATGTATTACTGTTTACTTGTTTTCCTTTAAATCGACTCACTCCTCTTACTTTCATAAACTTATTTAAGGAAAAACCTTGGCCCCACCATACGATTGGACAACAGTGTTGCTTTGCAAACATAACAGTGACCGTAAAAACCAGTGAGAAGCAGAGCATAAAACTAGCCAGTAGCCAATTTCTAGAGGTGGTGTTGCCTTTGTAGGTCACCAAGTGGCAGGGGGCTGCTGAAGACGGGTCCAGCCAGACCCGTCTTTCCCCTTGGGGTCATGAGGAGGATACAAGGAAAGCCGGAAGAGGATTAGCTTTCTTGACATGGGGATCCAGGAATCACTGTCTAAATTTTCCCCCTCGCTGCCCTCAGTGGCATCTGTGCCCATAGAGTTCTGTGTTCGATAATCTCCAGAGGCATGATGTCCAGCTCCAAGATTCTGATAAGCCCTCAGGAAGCCCAGAAGGCGAGGGGGGCTTCAGGTCCCCGCTCCGAGGCTAGGTGCAAGGCGTGGACTGTGGGTGTCGGCCACACAGGGCCACATAGCCACGGCCCGTCTTGCGCAGGCTGCCCTCCGGATTACGTGCCTCCGGAGATCTTCCACTTCCACACGCGGTCGGATGTGCGCCTCTACGGCATGATCTACAAGCCGCATGCTGTGCAGCCCGGGAAGAAGCACCCCACCGTCCTCTTTGTGTATGGAGGCCCCCAGGTGGGTGCCAGGCCTGCTCCCCGGACCCCCCACCCCTCCGCCCGATCTTCCAGGGGAGGGCCGAGGAGGCCCCTGGCCACCTTCCTCATGCCCCCCAACCCCACTCTGCCACTTGTGTCCTGACCACACAGGGATCTCAGGGGGCCCTTGCTCCTGCCTCTGTGTCCATTTGCACGCCCTTCCCTCCTGAACGCTTCCCCCATCACCTGCTGACTCCAGTGTCCCTTTGGGCTTTCTGACCCAGCAGTGACCCATGTTCACCCTGGCGACCAGCTTGGGACAGAGGTGGCCATGGGCCTTGAGTCCAGTTCCCTGGGAAGGGGGCAGGGCTGGGCAGCCAGATTGGCAGGTGGATCCACCTAAGAATGTAGTTCTCAACCGGGGGCACTTCTGTCCCCCATCCCCAGGGCATTTCTGGTTGTCACGACTGGGGGTGCTCCTGGCATGGAGTAGGTGGAGGCCAGGGACTCTGCTCAGCACCTGCAGTGCCCAGGACAGCCCCACCACAGAGAATGATCTAGCCCCAAATGTTAGTTGTGCCACAGTGAGAAACCCTGGTTTTAGTCACATTACTGGAAAAAATAACTATCCACACCCACCAGTTTCTTGTGACTGTTTTCTGAAGATAACTGGAACAGGGGGGCTATGGCTGAAGACACAAGGGAGTAATCCCCAGCAAGGGCCTGGGGCAGTGGCCTGGCTGAGGGGGGGCTGTCCCTCTCTCCTGAGAACATCCCAAGCACAGAGCCTGATGCACAGCAGGCCCCCATTTGACCTTGTCGCTCCCCAAGTGTCCAGAGCCTTCCAGGGCCATCCAAAGCCACCTTCATGACAAAGTTCAGCTGCCTAATTAGGCTCTAAGACCCCAGCCTGTCCCCATTCCTTATCCGCTGCCATCTGGCTGCTGCCTGGCCCGCCCCACCAGTTGTCTCTCGCTGGATTGTGCATCTCTCACACAAAGCCTGCCCCATGCAGGTGCAGCTGGTGAATAACTCATTCAAAGGAATCAAGTATCTGAGGCTCAATACGCTGGCGTCCCTGGGCTACGCCGTGGTTGTGATCGATGGCCGGGGCTCCTGTCAACGAGGGCTTCGGTTCGAAGGGGCCCTGAAAAACCAAATGGTAACTTCTCCTCTCAGTCACTGTGTAGGGAAGGGAATCCTGGGCCATGTAAGCTCGGGCTATGGGGCAGCTTTGGGGCACGACACAGAGGATAGTTGTGGTCAGGAAGACATGGGCATAAGGGGGTTCCTGGGCTTTTGGAACCCAGGGAAACATCCTGCTCTGCTGCTCAGCTCTGAGCTGTGCTCCATGGGGACACAGGTATATCCATCCCACCTGGCACCTGAGCACATGGCATAGGGAGAGACTGTGGCCAGATGCAGCCAGACACTACAGTACAGGCCAGGTCTGCAGGGAATCCTGAGGGCTGAGCTGGACAAGGACTGGTGGCTGTAGAAGTGGAGCTAACAGTGATGGTGATGGTGGTGATGATGATGATGATAGTATTGATGGCATTGGCAGTGGAAATGATGGTGGTGGTAGTGATGGTGATGATTGTGGTGGAGATGATAACAGTGGTGGACATAATGGAGGAGGTGATGATGGTGATGGTGATGGTGGTGGTGATGATGGTGATGGTGGTGGTGGTGATGATGATGATGGTGATGGTAGTGATGATAATGGTGATGATGGTGATGGAGATGGGGATGATGGTGGTAGTGATGATGGTGATGATGGTGGTGGTGGTGATGATGGTGATGGTAGTGATGATAATGGTGATGATGGTGATGGGGATGATGGTGGTAGTGATGATGGTGGTGGTGGTGATTATGATGATGGTGATGGTAGTGATGATAATGGTGATGATGGGGATGATGGTGGTAGTGATGGTGGTGGTGATGGTGATGATGGTGGTGGTGATGATAATGGTGATGGTAGTGATGATAATGGTGGTGATGGAGATGGGGATGATGGTGGTGGTGATGGTGATGGTGGTGATGGTGATGGGGATGATGGTGGTGGTGATGATGGTGATGGTGGTGATGATGGTGGTGGTGATGATGATGATGGTGATGGTAGTGATGATAATGGTGATGATGGTGATGGAGATGGGGATGATGGTAATGGTGATGATGGTGGTGGTGGTGGTGGTGATGATGGTGATGGTGGTGGTGGTGATAATGGTGATGGTGGTGATGGAGATGGGGATGATGGTGATGGGGATGATGGTGATGGTCGTGGTGGTGATGGGGATGATGGTGATGGTGATGGTGGTGGTGGTGACGATGGTGATGGTGGTGATGGAGATGGGGGTGATGGTGGTGGTGGTGATGGTGGTGATGGTGATGGTGGTAGTGATGGTGATGGGTGATGGTGGTGATGATGGTGATGGTGATGATGGTGGTGATTATGGTCATGGAGATAGTGGTGGTGATAGTGATGGTGATGAAGATGTGGTGGAGATGATGGTGGTGATGGAGATGGTGGTAGAGATGGTGATGATGGTGATGGAGGTGATGGTGGTGATGATGATAATGGTGGAGATGGTGATGAAGATGGTGGTGGAGTTGATGATGGTGGAGATGGTAATTGTCTCAGTCTGTGCAGCTATAACAAAATACCACACACTGGGTAATTTGTAAAGAACACAGATTTACTTGTCAGAGTTCTGGAGGCTGGGAAGTCCAAGATCAAGGCACCAACAGGGCCGGTGTCTGGTGAGGGATGCTCTCTGCTTGAAAGATGGAACCTTGTTGCTGTATCTTCTGGCAGGGAGGAACGCTACGTCCTTGCATAGCAGAAGGGGTGAAAAACAGGCAAACTCCCTCCATCATGCCCTTCTGTAAGAGTGCACAGTCCCAGTGACCCAGTCACCCCCTAAAAGCCACACTTCTCCATACTGCAACATGGGGATTAAGTTTCAACATGAGTTTGGGAGGACCACAAACATTCCAACCATAGCAGGGACATTGACAATGATGACCCCAGCTGTTCATCGAGCCTTTGCAGAGCCAGGCCTCTGGGCGCAGGATGCCGATGATCTCATTTTGTCCTCATGCCTACTGTCAAGTATGTGCTATTCATGTTAACATCCCATGAGCAAACTGAGGTCCTGAGATGGCACATGACTCATCAGGAGGTGGCAGAGTAGGGTTGGTGCTGTATCTGCCCAGCCACTACCCCCCCCACCCCACCCCCAGAGAGCAGGCAGGGTTTG